TCGTTAGCGAAATCGTCTCCCGGCTCTACCCAAACAAGACAAACAAGCAACAAGGATACAATCAACCACGTGCAAACTCAAACAACATGATGCAAAGATGATATGCTATGCGGGATGCGATGCGGGATGCAAAATGCAAGATATGACAGGAAATGCATGAACCTGGCCTCAACTTGGAAAACCAAGTGTGCCACTGGAAATATGAGATGAAATCGCTTGGAAACGATATAAAGAACGCCGGAATCGGAGTTACGGTTTGGAAATGGCAAGCGATTCAAATATGACACCGGTCTGCGATTTACAGCAAGTAGGCATCTAAATGCAACGAAATGAACATGCTACAGCACCCAAACATGGCAACAAAATACATGGCAGGGAAGCATTCAAGATGCTTAACAAAAGTCTAGCACTGAGCTACGGCTAAATCATCCATTAACACGTTCAAACAAGCATGGCAAAACTGCAAATGGTAAAACAGATCTCAGACTTAGTGAAATTAACACTTGTCTGGAATTTCAGATCATATAGCCCTCTTCGGAGCAACAAAACAACATGCTACAGGACCTGTACATGACAAAGAAAGATATGCCATGGAGCTACTCAACAAGCTTAACAAAAGTCCCTTAATGACCTTGAGCCAAAAGGGATCACAAAATATACTAACAAGCACACGAACATAGCAAAAACATAATCAGTTTTCAGACTTAGTGAAAACTGGGGCATGCTGAAACATAACTCACGAAGGCATGTTTACGAGCTCGATGCACTCACTATGGTGCAAGTCATGGCAATATAAGCATACATCCCTTAAGAAGGCACAAAATGCAAGCTAGACATGGCAAGAACAATGGCATAGCATGCACGGATCAACTACAATAACATCGGCAAAATCGCAAACAAGTTGACGATCTGCCAGATTCGCAACGAAGCAAAAGTAGAGCTCAATCGACTCAAGCTAGGTTGCTCCATAATTGCAAACAAAGACATGGATGGATAAAGCACTACAATATTAACAAAACTCCTTTACTGATCATCCTCAAAAGAGGCACGGATCACTAGGAAACAACATGAACATATGGCATCATGAGATAAACAATCCCAGGACAGTGAAATCACTAAGTCCCTGAAAACAGAATTAGCAAGTGCACCACTTTGCAAGCTTGCACAAATCACCACATACATCCTAAAAATACATGGGTTGCACCTCTGGAAAGATGACAAAACCCTTAACAAAACATATGAAGAACTCACGGGCATAGCATGCACACATTAATCATGGCAAAAATGACAAAAGTGCTAAACGGAGTAACAGATCTGACAATTAACTCAAGTAGCCCTCTACCAACAGCATTTCGAGCATCAAGATGAGCTCAAATGAAAATGATGCAATGGAATGAAATGATGTACTCTCTGAGATGAACATTTTGATATGCTATATGCCCAAATCGGAGCTACGGACGCAAAGTTACGGAGCCGCGAACATGGCAACTTGGATCAGGAATTCTGGGACTTAGTGAAAAAACGACCTAGGGTTAGGATTTCAGATCTAAGATCCGGGCACGGATTATGAAGTTCGCCGGAATCCTCGGAGCTCCCCGGAGAGGACCGGCCGGAGTGGCGCCGCGCGGGCTCCGAGCGCGGCGGGGCGGCGCGGCCGGTGGTGGCGCCGGACAGGGT